TGACTCTTAAGAGGTTCCTAGGGGAGGTCACATGAACCAGTGAACGGGGCTGCAGGCATAGGATAAACAATCCTGGCTAGCATAGTGTTAGTTCAGAGCCATGGCTAGCCTCGAGTGCATGCTCCGCCTGGAACAACCACCCCAAAGAAAACCATACTCGACTTCGTTTTAATCTTGCAATACCTATGTGAGTCCTGGTTACTTATTATTCTACTTTCTGGAAGAAAAACTAAGGGCAGGGACATGTCTAGATGTGTGGGTTCTAGTTTGGGCTGGCTCTGCTATGTCATTTCCTCTACTTAATCTTAGATAGTGACACCCATAATTTGTCCCCAAGGACTCCCTCCACAATCTGGCTACTGTTTAACTTTTTAAAAAAGTTTTTTTTTTTTTTTTTAACGTTTGTTTATTTTTGGAAGAGGGCAGAGCATGAAGCGGAGGAGGCAGAGAGGAGGCACGGAGCCAGGCTCCAGGCTCCGACTCACACGACCCGAAGTGCATGAGCTCGAACTTTTCCATGGGACTCGAGATCAGTCATGACCCTGAAACTGGTCGAGGGACAAACAGCAGGCCCTGACAAATCAGCCCCCTGACACTGTTTAGCTTCTATTCCTTATCTCTGTCCAGTCTCCTGACTTCACTCTACCATAGCCACACTGCAGGCCTTGAAACATGCTATTCCCTCTGTCTGACACACCTCTCTTCTGCCCCTGCACCTGACTAATTCCTACTCACCCTTTCAGCCTCAGCTTGGAAATCAACCCCTCAAGGGAGCTGATTTCTTGATTCAGGTTAGGCCCTCATAGGGATTCCCATAGAATCCTGGTTCTCTCCACATGCCCCCCACCCCCCACTATTCCCCAGCTTTCATCTGGAATTATCTGTTTACTGCCCAGCTTGCCAGCTAGAATGTATGCCTAAAGGTAAGGATCCTGTCTTTTTTATTTACTTCTGTGTCACTTATACTTAGCACATAGTTGGCACTCAATAAATATCAGCTATGGGTGAAGAAAAGCAACTAATAAGCAGGGCATCTTAGGAAGCTTCCCCAGATTGATACTTCCTTCCCCCCTTTTGCCCCAGTTGTAATGGGATATGTAATAAAACAAACATTTCTATTCATCACTAAATTTTTCTTGGGGAGAGCACTGTGTTAATTTAGAAGAAATATTAATTAGCAGATATAAGAATATGGACTTTGAGGATAGATTTTCTGGTTTTGAATCATGGCTCTGCCACTCAATGGCTGTAAAACCCCGGGCAAGTTACTTCTCTAGGCCGCAGTTTCTTCATGTGTGAGATGGGGGTGAACATAACAGCACACCTACCTTAGAGGACTGTTGTGAGGATTATATGAATTAATACACACAAAGAACTGAATAATTACTGCATATATAAACAGTAAGTGCTAGCAATTATTATTTCTTTTATTAAACCATTAGAGGTTGGGGGGTGAGCTCACGGAACCAAAGTTGATCACCAAATAATGCTTTTCAGGAGAGTGATCTTATTCATCGTGGGTTTTCTGTTTTATGTGTTTGAGGAGAGTTGCTGAAGCCAAGCCGATTTACTGTGCCAATCAGAGATGAGATCATTTTGACATTGGCAGGAGAGGGAGGCAAGATCCATTTGTACATTCAACAAATATTTACCGAATGTCTATTTTGTGCTAGACATAGAGGAAAATAAGATAGTCACAGCTGTTACAGAGCTCCCCAAAAAATCAAGAAAGAAGAGAGAAACTAGAGAGGCTGGGGACTGGGAGTGGGGGGTGGGGTGCTGGGGGCAGACCAGTTCCTCTCCGGTGGGTACGGCACAGCAGAGGAGGATGTTGAGAGAACAGAAATGCTAAGGCAGGATTTTAAAGCGGCTGCTATAGGATGTGTTATGTAAATCCTCCCCTCCATCCCCTACAATATCGTCAATAAAATTTTCATTGCTCACTCAGAGCCTGAAGAAGGGGAAGATAGCAGATATCTGGGTTATAACTGTTAGGGGAAAGAAGCTATAGGCAAAAAAAGGCCTTCCTTACTCCTGTGTACTACCAGTAAGGAGGCATTACAGTGCATGCAATATTTAATGATTATAAATGATACCTCCATGCACTGTATAACACAAGACTCTTTACAATGAATATAAATTAAACAGTACCAATAGCAGTCATATTAACTGAAAAGAAGAGGCATTATTCAAGACAGGAAACTTGGGACTTCCAGGGAAAAGGAGCCTTGAACCCGGGAGTCACATATGACCACCAACCAGCCCCTCTGTGCTTAATTAGTCAAACCGGTGATTCATTGGTAACTATGACTTATTTTTTTTTAATGTTTACTTATTTTTGAGAGAGAGAGAGAGAGAGCGAGAGAGCACACTGGGGAGGGGCAATGAAGATCCAAAGCAGGCTCAGATAGCAGCAAGCCCGATGCAGGGCTCGAACCCACGAACCGTGAGATCATGACCTGAGCCGAAATTGGATGCTCAACCAACTGAGCCACCCAGGTTCCCCAATGACTTGTTATTTTATAAACTACTGCTTACAAGGATGCAGCCTTTCTTAAACATAAGTATCCTAAGGTTTAGGTGTGAGGAAAGAAGGGGTCCACTATATACTTAAGGCTCCCATCCTTTTCTGACTTCCAGTTTTTCACTTTTACCATCCTTTAAAAATAACAATTTCAGGAAATGTATATATTTCTTTTAAAAAGCAGCAGCCCAGGGGCGCCTGGGTGGCGCAGTCGGTTAAGCGTCCGACTTCAGCCAGGTCACGATCTCGCGGTCCGTGAGTTCGAGCCCCGCGTCAGGCTCTGGGCTGATGGCTCGGAGCCTGGAGCCTGTTTCCGATTCTGTGTCTCCCTCTCTCTCTGCCCCTCCCCCGTTCATGCTCTGTCTCTCTCTGTCCCAAAAATAAATAAACGTTGAAAAAAAAAATTTTAAAAAGCAGCAGCCTAAGAAGTAATCAGTCATCACACCAAATAAAACAAAACTATCAGTTTGCCTGAATTTCCAAGAGTGAAGTAAATAAAGCTCTGTTGGAATTTACCTACACAAATTGAGACTTTCCAGGGAAGAGAGAAATAAACTAGAATTTTTTTCTTTCTCTTAGATTTGTTTACTGTGTAAACCCTGGGGTTTTTGCATCTTATAATGTGACTACTGATTAAAAAGATATATGGTTGTTTATTAATGTTCTCAAAGCATGATGCAAATTCACATCACCTTGGGTATGTTTTGCCCCTAAAGCTATGAAGTAAATATGGAAGCATTTTGTAGTTAACAAGAGCAAAATATGTTAATTCAAATAGTTGGCTTTGAATAGGATTTTCCTTTAAACCATTAATAGGAAAATGAAGAGAGCTTGGGTGGTCAAGCATGAAATGTAAATGAGAGCAGTTTTCTTTTTTGTCTCATCATCCGATGTTATTTGATGTTAAAATTTAAATTTGATAATGCGGAATATGACCTTATCATGAAACAATGCAGTTTATGCCCCAGATTTTTTGACAGCAGTACTGAAACTATGATTTTTAAGGACCATTTTCAAATGACAAGTGCAGCGAAAAAATTAGACATTTTGAATTGGTGGAGTCAGAAAAAGAGCTTGCCTGTCCTTTTATATACAGGATCATATTTTTTAAATCAAAAACTAAGATAGAGGGTGTTAAAGCAAAGCAGAGACAAATCTCCATCTCTTTAAATGGCTATAAAATTACCAGTGGAATTCCTGAAGGGCCAAATAATACAGGAAGCATATACTTTTGCCCTCTTATTAAAACGAGGAATATGCTTCTTTCAAGCAGAAAAGGGTTTTACAAACCTCTTTTCTGCTTTTGGTATCAGCCTCAGAAGGGCAACCATTTCCTATTGTCTGGAGGCTCGCGAGAAGTGCAAAGGACAGCCACTACCACGAGCTCAGGAAAATCAAGGTGGACACCAGGCCTAGGCTTCTACCATTCTCCTATCAGAAAAAGAAATTCAGAAAAAGGTCAGTTTAAAACACACACATTTTAGTCAGGTTTTAAGTGTAACTATCTCCTTAAATATGACTGATCCTATGATTATAGGCTTTTCAACTTAGGTATTAGTGACCCATTTTTTTTTTTTCCTATTTTAGGGGCCTAAAAAAAGAAAAGAAAAAAAGACCTCAGAGTGGCATAAATTTCTATCATACAAGAAAATGAATTAATTTAGTAGCATTGTAAAACTATGAAATTTGTGCCAGTTTTCAGGTGTCCCGATATTTAGGCTGCTTTATAGGGATAGCTAAATTCACTGGCAACGTTAAGAAATGGTAAAAAACGTTAAGAAATGATAAAAAAACTCATGCTAAAATGTCCTGTCGCAAATATGCTTTACTTTGGAAGGCATCCACAACAGCAATGTACCATTTTCCAGAAGAGCATTTCTATACCAATAAGAGTCTTCCTCTAAGGGCAGACCCTTGCACAACCATCACACTGCACGGAGCTCTTGAGAATATTCTGGAAGCATCACTGTGAACCGTTGCTTCTCAGCAAAGAGAGAGAAATGAAATTCAGCAGAAGCAGCAACTTTTGGGAGGAGAAACACGGTTTCCCTTAGAATGCTTTTCTCCTGGAATGGGTTTACTGAGAGCTCGGCTTCTCTGGTGCTTTAAATCTGTGGACTGTTGAACGTCACTCCGCCTTTTTTGAAGTTACAAAAATGCGGTGTGGCGGGAACAGAAAGTTTGGAAAATTAACTGCGTAAGACTTCAGATAACACAGAAGACATACATGCAATAGCATTCCATGAAGAACTTAATCAACTCAATCCCTTGCATGTAATTAACCAAGGCACACAACGACTCCAAATTCTGCACTCCAAAAAAGGAGGGAAAATGCAAGGGTCCTGCAGCAGTTCCCGGGACTACGGAGAACTGCTTTGTTACAAGTGTATCCAAAGTCCCCAGCAGCAGAGACTTGTGGGGCGCCGCTTATCCTTGCCGCACTCGCTCTGCAGCTCCCAGAGGTGGCGGTTGTGCTATGAAGGAAGACCCTGCCAAGCTGGCCGACAAGATGCTGCGCACCCCCAAGTGCTCCAGGTGCCGGAACCATGGTTTTCTGGTGCCGGTCAAGGGCCATGCGGGCAAGTGCCGCTGGAAGCAGTGCACCTGCGAGAAGTGCTACCTGATCACCGAGCGCCAGAAGATCATGGCTGCGCAGAAGGTGCTCAAGAAGCAGGCCTCCGAGGAGGAGCAGGACGGGGCCCTCGTCGCGCAGGGCCCGGAGCTGTTGACAGGGGCCGCGGCCGCAGCCGCAGCCCTGGGCGCAAGCCTCCGCCAGCTGCCTCTGCTGACCGCTTCGGGAGACTGGGAGCCAGGCCCCGAGTGCCGCGTGGCCGCCGGCTTCCCAGAGAGGCCCCCACGGGGCCCGAGCCCCGGCCCGAGCGCCTTCCAGCCAGTTCTGGGCGGCCACGGCCGCGGCCGCGGCCACGTGGGGCCGAGCGGCGATCGAGCCGCCGTGGCCATGCCCGGTTCGGTGGGGCCCCAGCTTGGGATGGAGGTAGCAGGCAGGGGGTGCCCTGACCGCCTGGGGCTGCGCAGTCCGTTGCGGCCCCTGCCCAGCCCGCCGTTCGACTTCGGTAAGATTCCCAGGCCCTGCGTGGCCTCGCCCCGCCTGGGATTCCTCTCCAGTGCCTTACGCTGGCAGCCCAGGCCATCCTGGATCCTGCGGGGATGGACCCTCGGGGTGGGGGTGGGGAAAATGCTTTCCAGAGGTACTCTTGCTTTGGGAAGCTTTCCTCTAAATAGAGATTTGGGTTGGGTGGCATTTTGGAAAAAGGTGACGGGAGAGAGTTAGAAAGGAACGGGCGGTTCTGACGGCCGTTAAAATGTTAAAATTTAGCTTCTTGCTTTGCCGTCTAGCAAGAAAGAAAATGGCCCCCAGACGCCTTGGCTGTGGGTCCTTCTTCAGGAAGACGCTCGAGAGGCGGCCTACTGCGCTTGCGCGCTTCTTCCCGCCTTTTTCTTGGGCTGGTGGCGCCTCCTTCAGGAGGCCACTGTGGGTGGGCCTGCGCAGCCCTGACTGCGCCTGCGCGCTCCTTCCGTTTCTAGAAGCTGGAGGCTCCTCCCAGCGGACTTCCCCTGCAAGGGCCCTAGCCCATTGCGCCTGCGGACCCCTACGCACCCTTTTCCCGGGCGTGGGAATGAGGCCGTTTTATGTGCCCCACTGGAGAACGGTTGAAATATTGATGTTGCTTCTTTTTCTCCCCACCCATCACATGCATAAATTACATGGTTCTCTATGTCTTGTGGCTTGCACTATTAAAAGTACAATTTCAAGTCATAGATTGGAGCCTCTTTAAAATTGCAATCGCAAGTCATATGTAGATTTGACGCTCTTTATGGGCAGAGACACGCTCTTTTTTGGTTTTCCCTATGGCATGTGGTAGGAAGAGCACAGGAGGCTAGGGGAACTGCTCAGTCACCTTGGGCAAGCTCCTTCCTTCTGTGGCAGCCTCTCCCCTCTACGCTAAGGGGACCGGCCTGGATGCTTTCTGAAGGCCATTTCTGTCTTCTGGGACATTCTAGTAAAATGTGGGTCCCCAGGAAACTAGATGGGGAAGACAGACCTGAAATAGCAATTCTAGAAGATACCTTTCCATAGACACAGTGCCTTTCTTTGTTCCGTCTCAACAGGGGCTGAGCATTTAACTATGTGCCATTCACTAGTGATGAAGAAGTGAAGAGGGCAAAGGCACATTTGTTGCCTTCAAGGATCTTGTCTTTGTGGGAGGGACAGCACTGGTGGAGGAATCACACAAATCAATGTAAAGAGCTCTAATAATTGATGGGCTCGCTGTGGTCTGAAGGAAGAGTAGGAGCTGAGGACTTCCAGAGGCACAGTGGGATTAGGGGGGAAGGTCTTCTAAACTGAGGGAACAGCATCTGTGAAGGCCTTGAGGTTGATGAGAAAGGGGAAGCTGTTGGGTTATAGTGCATGCGGAGGCTGGAGTGGAGGCAGGAACCAGCCCTCATGGGGCTTTGTGGCTATGCCAAGGACTTTTTCTAAGCAGTGGGACGTGGCTGAAGGGCTTAAAAAGCAGGGAGCACCAAAAGCATAATGGACGGGGGAGATCTTTGTAAGTGGATCTGAGTGTTGTGTGCTGCCTTCGCACAGTGATGTGATGCTCTTTTTCCTAGCTCTGTGTTGTTTTAACACTTCCGTCATTGCTTACCTTTTCAGGGCTCCCTCTGAACATCAGCTCAGATCATGTGGTGGGGCTTGAGCACCTGGAGAGGCAGCCTTCCAAGCTGTACCCCAGCTGCTCCAACATGCATTCCTACTGTGCATTCCCACTGGGCTACCAGGATGGATCCCCGCCTCCGGGGATCCCCCTGCAGCGGGGCTTCCGGCATGTGTCCTGCAGCCCCTACCATGGAGGAAGCTTGGTAAGTCCCCTCCTCACTCCTTTCCTGGTTCCTCCTTATCCCACATGCCCTGTTGCCATTACGGATCCTCAATCCCAGGAAGCAGGCCGCTGTGCCAGGCTGTGCCAGGCCTTGAGCACTGGTAGGATGGATAGAACATTGACCTTGTGCCATGTACACCTGTGGGGGTGCACATGTGTAGGCAAGTCCATTCGCGGGTAAACAAGTTGGCCTGGGCTGTGGCATGTGCTTTTCAGAGCTGGGAGCTCAAGCAAGAACGAATGCAGACACATCTCAGATAAACCCGGGAATAGCCACACAGTACCACCGACCGGGTGAGTGACCACCAGCCTGGACTCACGGAATGCTGATGTTGGAAGGGTGCTTCATTTTGCTGGGTACCAGAAAGGAGGCATCACTGTCCTGGAACCACATAGTTGAGGGCGGAGCCAGGAGCAGACGTAGGTCCCCCGCCCAAAGGTATGGGCCGCTTGAGACTGCAGAGGGCTTTCAGGAGGAATTTAAGCTGAGTCATGAAAAATATGGAAACATTCCCCCGACATAAGCCTGGAGTTTTGAATATTGAGTATGTAAGAGTCAGGCCATCCCTGTTATGTGAGGTACGAGTCGGGGTGATCAGGTTTTGTGGCCTTGGTTACCAGCTCCTTCCAGACCAGAGTGGTTAAAAGCCCTTTCCCTTTTGGCAACCCTGAGACCTGTGATGACTGCAGGGTAGAGGCCTGGGTATCCAGTCCTGACTTTGGGCCCATGAGGCTGGGCCTGTAGGGAAGGTCCACTCCAGTGCAGCTCAAGCTCACGGAAAAGTAGACCCCTATTACCTTTCCTGCCTCCCTCAGAACTAAAAGCCTAACTCTGGGTGTTAGGTGTTTCTCTTGGGTGGAGGGTAGAGAAGAGCGAGGACAGAGCAGGCTTCTTTGTTTAACGCGGAAAGTGACTGAGAAGAAGGAGGAACGCCTGACATGTACGTACCGAGAGTCTTAGCTGCAGAGTGTGGAGCGGTGAGCTTCCAGAGGTGTCCAGGCAGGTCATGCACCCAGGGCGCTGGGTCCCCACTCCTGCTGCAGCCCCAGCAGCATCTCTGCTGTCTGTTTTAGATACTTCAGATACTGATAAGTCCTTTTCCATTGATTCAAGGGGAAACAGTTTGGAAACCAGTGGTCTTGAGAATTTCTGGGGCGCCTCCTGACCCTTATGTGAGCCATCAGGGCACGCTGTATTACCCCACTGTAGAGTGGAGGAAGAAGACTCAGAGAAGCTAAGTAGTTGCTCATGGTCACAGAACTGGGGATTCAGATTACACAGCTGCTCAGTAACAGAGTGGCAGTCACCCCAACTCTGGAGCCCTGGCACTTTGTGCCGCCTGAGGTGTATCTGTCGTGCAGAGGAGTAGCAAACATGGCCCTTGACTCCCCACCACCCCTGAACTCTGTGGGCGCTGGCCACCCCCTCGCAGCCCAAGGAGAGCACGGTGCCTCCAGCCTTCACACAAAGAGGGGGCCCTGGCCAAGTGGAGCACGCACCCACCGTCTGCTCACACAGAAGCTTGGATGGAGCCTGGCGTCCAGGGTAGGGTTCTGATTGACAGGCTTGCCAGACGGCCTTTGTTAAGAGTGTGATCTCAGTTGGTTTATCTGGGCCTGAGCTGCCACCACAGGCCCCAGGCAGGAGCTGTGATCCAGGGAGAGACTTGGCTGAGCAGCTTGGAATTAAAGCACTAATAATCCCCCTTCCCACCCCCTCCACGTCTGGATAAAGGATCAGGCATTTATTTGTGAAGCTGTTTCAAACCCAAGAGCCTATGAATTGCTTTCATCCTTGTCCTGCTGCACCCTGCCCAGGCTCTGAGATACTCTCCGGAGAGGTCTTCAGCCTCCTATTCCTGTCCCTGCCCCATTTGCTGCTGCTTTACTTCCTCTGTTCTCTTCCCACAAAACAGCACAAGCTTGGAGCTCGACAGACCTGGGATCCAATCTTGCCTCCATTGTTTACTAACCATATGGCCTGGGGAAGTCATGTAACCTCTGAGGATCTCACTCAGGTTCTCGGTCTGTATAGTAGGGGTAAGAGTACCTATCTCACGGGGCCATTGACAGACGGAATAGGTGTAATGCATGGTAAGGTGTGCCTGGCACAGGGTCTGGCATGTAGCAGGCACCTAAAGGTGGGCTTTCTTCCTTTCCTTGTGGTTAACTTAAGTTAGGAAATGATTTTTGCAGATTGTCTCAAGGCTTTAACATGCTCATGTGTGACTCACCAGTGTGGGGGCAGTGTGTGGGGTTTCTCAAACTGCCTTAACAAAGACCACTTTTAAGAGCACGTCAGATCTCTTCTAGGACATTAGGATTCTCTAGAACATGGCATGTAAATTGCTGCTCTAAAGGATCTGGATGGAGAAGTAAATGATAGGAACTACATCTGAAATTTATTATTATTTAAAAATTTTTTAATGTTTATTTATTTTTGAGAGCGAGGGAGAGAGACAGAGAATGAGCAGGGGATGGACAGAGAGAGAGGGAGACACAGAATCCGAAGCAGGCTCCAGGCTCCGAGCTGTCAGCATAGAGCCTGACGCAGGGCTCGAACTGCCAAACCGTGAGATCATGACCTGAGCCCAAGTCGGATGCTCAACCGACTGAGCCACCCAGGCATCCCAATGAAATTTTTTTTTTTTTATTACATTCATGTCTTTCTGGGTTAAGCTCCAATCTGTGTAGTCCTCACTCCAGATGCCCCCACTCCAGCCCTGGGGTCCTGTGGCATGAGCTCAGCTTCCATGTTCTGAAGAAGGAACAGAAACATGGAAGGGCTAACTGCTGAAGTTGCTTTGCTGAGGTCTCCCAGCTTCCCTTGCCTCTAACAGCTGCACCACACGCTGTTGTATTAGAACAGGGCTTCCAAAGGCCCCCGACTCTCAATTTCAAGTCCTTAGCTATACCAGAAAATGGGGCCACAGGGGGTTGGGATGCATTCAGCACAGAGCAGTGGAGTCCGACAGACTTGGGCTCCAGTTCTGCCTCTGTGGCCAGCTCTGTGGCCCTGGGCCCGAAGCTTCACCTCACTGACACTGTTTTCCATCATTATAGTGAGGATGACACTAGGGAGCCTGGCTGCTCCCCAGGCTCACCTGAGATGTGCCGGTATTTGTTCTTGCCTTCAGTTATTTGGTGGGTATTTGCTGAACACCCTGTTCCGAGTGCCCTGTGCCCAGGTGTTTAGGTCAGAGAGGCGAATCGACCTCTTGGGGAGCCCCCCATTTAGAAGTATGGGACTGTTTGATCAGCCCATCTGGCTAAGCCTCTTCCTGTCTGGCTTCTCTGCTGTGTGTGTGCTGTGCAGGTGTCGGAGTCGGTGGGAGACTTCCAGCCAAGCTACTACCCGCCGCCTCCGCCTCCGCAGCAGCCTCAGTTCCTCCCGCCCGGCTTCCTGTCTGCGCTCCACTTCCTCCCACCACTGCCGCCGCCACTGCCGCCGCCACCAGCATCTTTCTCTCTTGCTGTCCTGTCTGACACAGACAAGGAGACCACTGGTAAGTGACCTCTAGTCCAGCTTCTGGGGGAGCCAGGAAGACTTTCTAGAGGAAAGGGGACCTGATCTGAAGTGGATGTGGAGAGAAGGGAAATGGAGAACAGAACTTAAAATGTATCAGACCCTGGGATAAGCTCTTTCCTTATATCCCTCCCTTTATTCCCTATGCGAGCATCTAAGAGAGGGGGTCCCCAGTCTCAGGTGAGAAAACCAACAGCACCCTGAGAGGTTCTCGCATACGTAAGTGGCAGATGGCAGAGCTTAGATTTCAACAGAATTCTGTCTGGCTCCAGGTCCGCTGCTAATTCCCTCCCCTTCCCAGGGCCTGTGGGCAGAGACGTGGAGGGTGGCATGCATGTGGTGTGTTCAGAAGACCAGAGGTGCCAGGCTTCTCTGGCTCGGCTGGGGCCTCTCTGGCTAGGGAAACGGCAGGTGCGGAGCCTGGAGCAGTAGCTGGAGCTGGGTTGGGCCGGCTGGGGAAGGGTCCTTTACCCCAGGCCACTTGTAGAGAGAAACAGACCAGGAGCTGGGGACCCTGTCCTTCACAGCTCTGCCACTGGTGCACTGGGTGACCTCGGGCATTCATACCCTCTCTAGGACTCCGTCTTCTCATCTGTAAAATGGGTCATGTCACAGGGTTCCTGTGATAGCTGAAATTCGGGATGTAGAAATGCTTTGGTTTTCCTTTGAGACTCTCGTAGCTTTAAGGGTTCTAGGGTATTTTTTCCCCCTTTCTATCCTTCCCTGAGTCGCCTTAGGAAAAGAAACTAAGGCCTGTCGCACACTTGGCTGTGTGTGCGATGCCTAGATCCACAGGATGGGGAGACGGGACGTAGCTTGAAGCATGCCGGCCCCGGAGCCAGACAGCCTGGGTATTGGTCCTGGCTCTGGCATTTACCAGCTGCGTGACCTTGGGCAAGTTAATTCACCCCCTGGTGCCTCAGCTTCACCTTCTGCAAAAGCGGACTAACAATGGTTCCTACCTCACGAGGTTATTCTGAGGATTAAACAGAACCTAGAACGAGGAAGGCATTAGCGTTCTCACTGTTTCCCCTCGTCCTCTTGCTGACCTTGATGTTGCCAGGTAGCTCTCTCATTTGACGGAAAGAGGCTGAGGTTCAGAGCTGGGGAGTAGCTCGCTTCTTGTCCCCCAGCTCGCACAGGCAGAGCCGGAGTTTGAACCTGAGTCTGTGTCATGTGGCAGGGGGCTAGATTGCCAGTGTCCAGACTAGCAAATGAGAGGCAAAGTCCTTCTCCACGGGGACCAGGAAGGGTGAGAATGCCTTATAGAAAGTTTACATCTGAAGGTAGGTAATCTTCCTCCTAGTGAATCCTGTAAACCCAGCCCCTCTTCTTTGTCCTTCACAGATGACCAGGATGTGAAGGTGCCAGCACCGGCGCCGGAGGAGCCGCCCGAGGTGCCGCCCGAGAAGAACGAGGAAGGGGAGGAACCACCGCCTGAGCCCAGCCAGCCGCCCTCTCAGGAGCAGTCCGACTAGGTCCAGGCTCTCGGGCCAGCAGCGGGGGCGCTTTGGGGGTGTTACAGCGATGATGTTCTTGTTCGAGTTCAGGGATGGGTAGGGAGGAAGGATAGTAGTAGGCTTAAGAGAGCAGTTAATTTGCATTTCAAGACAGGAAGAAGGAGGGTGATTTCTAGGGTCCTCTCAGTCCCGGGATGGGGGACTGAACAGGATGGAGGATGGTTAGCAGGGGAAGGCCAGGGCTCTGAGGATCGGGGGGCTGGTGGAAGCTCACATTTAGGAATGAATTTAACCGTGTCCAGGTTGTGCCGCTGTCAGATTCACTCCCAGACGCGGTCTTTGATTTCCTCAGGCCGGGTTCCAGGACAGGAGGCACATCTATTTCAGCCTTCTGCTTCTGCCTCTGCTTGGTCCCAGCTAGGGGCACAGACACCAAGCTTCCAGCACATCCAGGTGGCTGGTGGGAGCAGCGGGGGCCCAGGGCGTTGACGGCAGGTTCTGCAGCGTCCTTCCTTGCTGCTCGGGCTCCCGAGGGCTGCCTGGCCACTGCCCCGCGCCCCTTCTCCAATGGGCTTTACTGAGCATTCTGACCGCCGGGGCTCCCATCCATAAAGTTTAAGCCATTATAGGCATCATTTCTGGTTTAAAAAAATCTATTAAAGTTTGATTATTTGATATTTTTATAGTGATTGCCAACTTTAAAAAGTAGGCTGTTTGTAAGCACTGATACAGTTCTCAGACAATAGAATGGTGCTTCTAAATCCTCTGTGGTATCCGTTCCTTCTCTGGGGACAGCCGACTGTTGAAATAAAATGAGCATTGGAAATTCTTGTGGAAGGTTTATTCTCTCTTTAAATCCTTATGGAAGGCAGTGTTGGGTTGGGGGTCAGGGGCCTGGCAAGCCAGTCCCTAGTCTACCTCCCCTTTCCCTCTCCCTCTGTTATCAAGTGAGACGCTTGGGCTAGGCTACTAGATTTTTTTAATTATTATTGTTACTGTCACTACCTTTTTCTTAAGCAGTGGAGACCTTTTGAGGAAATCGGATTCAGACACATAAAATATAAAGATTTCTTCTAGTTTCCCTTCCCCGGCTGTGTGGGTGGGCAGAGATAGCCTTCTGGAGAAGTTGGGGCCTCGACCACGTCTTAAAGAGCACTTGGGGCCTCGACCATGTCTTATTTTTTTAAATTTTTTTTTTTTTCAACCTTTATTTATTTTTGGGACAGAGAGAGTCAGAGCATGAACGGGGGAGGGGCAGAGAGAGAGGGAGACACAGAATCGGAAACAGGCTCCAGGCTCTGAGCCATCAGCCCAGAGCCTGACGCGGGGCTCGAACTCACGGACCGCGAGATCGTGACCTGGCTGAAGTCGGACGCTTAACCGACTGCGCCACCCAGGCGCCCCTCGACCATGTCTTAAAGAGCACGAGTGAACTAGGTGAAAGTAGGCACTCCCGGTAGGGGGTGCAGAAAGAGAATAGGGCACCTGGAGTGAAGGATTCTGGGTGAGAGACCGTGTCCTGTTCTCTGTCCAGGGAAGGACTGGTCTTCAAGAGAACAAACTGACCTGCTTCCTGCCTGACCTGTAGCATCCTCACAGGACAAGTGGCAGGAAGATCACCGAGAAGTGATACTCCCATGTTCTCCCACCATCGGTGTAGTAGCTAGGCCTGGACCTGTTCTGTTAGAAGGCACTGAACAGGTACAGTCCTAGGAATTTTTCAGTTAGTGCTTTACAGACAGTGCTTTCAGTGGGGCAGACCCAAGCCCTGTAGGCCTGTAGGTCAGCACTGGCTTCAGTCTGGGTTTGGATTAGCCTGGCTTTGAGTCGGAAGCACCCCCTTACCACCCCCCCCCCACAGTCCTGTCCTTGGGTACACAGTACTGCAGTGGCCCTGGATTCCCATTGGCCTCTCTCACCCTGCCCTCATTGGACCCTGACCTGTGAATATGGCCAAGTGAGGCTGGATTGGTGCCCCTATTTCTTTCTTTTTTTTTTTAACGTTTATTTATTTTTGAGACAGAGACAGAGCATGAGCAGGGGAGGGGCAGAGAGAGAGGGAGACACAGAATCCGAAACAGGCTCCAGGCTCTGAGCTGTCAGCACAGAGCCCGACGCGGGGCTCGAACTCACGGACCGTGAGATCATGACCTGAACCAAAGTCGGATGCTTAACCGACCGAGCCACCCGGGCGCCCCAACCCCTACTTTTTCAATACACTTTGTTTTATCTTAGACTCCATGTTTTGGAAGATTTTTCGACCAAGCTACATTAATCAAAGCATTTTTGCTCAATGCACACAGAAGTGGGAGAGTCTGACCACGTGTACTCTGTAACATTCCAGACCAGTGCAAGGAAACAGGATGTTTGGTTAGCCTGTGAGGTTTGACATAGGAAGCCCTGGCCTGCTGAGAAGCGCAGTGTCCTGTTGCCAGAGTCCATGTCCACAGGACTCTAGGAAGAGGAAGGTTGCTCAGTTCTATAGGCCTGTGATCTGAAGACTGTCTGAAGACTGGTTAGCATCTTTCCTGGAACCTTGAAGGTGCCTGCTGTGGTGAAAAGACCAACTGTGGGACAGGGTTGGAGACCTGCCTTCCTCCCTTACCCCTGGTGTGAAGCCCAAGTTCTGATAGCCCCAGCTTGTCCCTTCCTGTGTGTTCGCACCATGTTTATTTACCTTGGTGGTGTCGGTGGACCCCTGCTCCCTGTAGCCTTTCCAGTCAATCCAATCTTTGCTCCCTGAATGCCCTGTTCCTGAAGCAGCTTCAGCATGAGCACTGAAACACAGGATCTGAGCATGCTGCCTTGCTCACACACCTTCTATGGCTCCCTACTGCTCTGAGGCCAGTATCTGTAACAATCTGTCTGCCCAGCTTTCCAGCCTCTTCTCTCACAGGCTGGCCCAGCCCAGGTTTTGCAGGGGTGGAGTCCGCGAGGTCCAGGCAGAAAAGGATGGGAAGCAGAGAGACCGGCAGCCAGCGGCAGCACTGCTCATCCCTGAAAACCGAGGCTTGGCTATGAGCTGGGAGAATCTTCTGGAAGGCAGCTGGCTGGCATTGCCTGACGCCGGAGGTACTGTCAGGAAGCCGCCAGGAGAGGGCGCGCGGGGAGCAGCTGTGGGCGGGGCCTGTTGCCTAGCGACTGGCCGCAGAGACACGCGCAGGTCCGTTGCCAGCTGAGCTGGAAGAATAGGTTTCCGCAGCTCAGGGCTTGAAGCGCCCCCCAGAGACCTGGGATCTCCCTGGGAAATCAGAATGATGAGCCTCTCTAGGCTGGGCTGTGTGATTGCCAACTGCTCAGCAATCATCTTTGCTGTGCCTGTGAAATAGATACCCTCCTATATTTCAGACACCAGCCCCAATCCCAACCCCAACGTCCCATGGCTTATTCCAATCTCTCTCTCCTTTCTGCACTTTT